ATGGACAATTTTATTCCCTACCACAACTAGCCTCAGGCAAAAATTGTTTTAAGCTTCTTCTGCATTTCCTAAGTCTTAATGTTAGCCTGAGGGATTGGAGCCTATGTTATTTTCCAGATCCGTTGTGACAGATGTAAGGTAAAATTCATCTCTCTAGATTGGAGTACATTTACAAGGTCATTTCTGAGACTTGGGGGAAGCCTTTGTAAAGAGACAGCACTCCCCAGTTTTCAAGCTCCCCTGCCCAGATTTACACAGATCCCAAACCCACTTATGATCATCTTTGCAAATCAAATCAAATGTGCAATTGAGCTCATTGGGGGTGTTGAAGGAATGAGCAAGGGGAATCAGTGCCACAATGGAGCAAAGGTGAGGTGTGAACTGGCCTTGTCTTCCTCTTCCCCTGCTGGGTACAACATCTGGCTGCTGTTTGATATCATATGGCTTCTTGCGGATGCTCCCTTCCCCTCCTCTTGTTCTCTGAGACCTCAAGGGGGAGAAGGGGGTAGAGGAGGTGGAAGAGAGTGAGAGAGAGAAAGAGAGAGAGACATAGAGAAAGAGACAGAGAGACAGAGACAGAGACAGAAAGACAGAGAAAGAGAGACAGACAGACAGAGAGAAAGAGACAGAGAGACAGAGACAGAGACAGAAAGACACAGAGAGAGACATAGAGAAAGAGACAGAGAGACAGAGACAGAGACAGAAAGACAGACAGAGAGAGAGACAGAGAGAGAGAGAGAGAAAGAGAGAGACATAGAGAAAGAGACAGAGAGACAGAGACAGAGACAGAAAGACAGAGAGAGAGAGAGAGACAGAGAGACAGAGAGACAGAGAGACAGAGACAGAAAGACACAGAGAGAGAGAGAGAAAGAGAGAGACATAGAGAAAGAGACAGAGAGACAGAGACAGAGACAGAAAGACAGAGAAAGAGAGAGAGAGAGAGAGAGAGAGAGAGAGAGAGAGAGAGACAGAGACAGAGACAGAAAGACAGAGAGAGAGAGAGAGAGAGAGAGAGAGAGAGAGAGAGAGAGAGAGAGAGAGAGAGAGAGAGAGAGAGAGAGAGAGAGCCTCTAAGGATGCCAGCCAGCCAGAGAAAAAGCAGAGTACCCTTTCCCATACAGGGCAACGTAGCTTGGACGGGAAGTAAGAGAACTGAGAATCCATGAGGGCTAAAGTTCCCCTCACATCCCAAGTGCAGCAAAGAGGGAAAAGGGAAAACAAAGGATATTATGATCACTCTATGATACCTTTTCCTTGTTTAGTTCCTGAAAGTTCCAGGATTTATGTTATTTAAGCTGATGTCTGGTTTTTACCAAAAACAAAAAATCCACCTATCTTTAATGTATAAGAAAGGAAGAGGAGATCTTTCTTGTCTCTGCTCAGAATGAATTTGAGCTGGTTTAGAGATAGCATTTTAGGATCACAGTATTTAGAGCTCAAAGAGCTCTGATAGTCACTCCTCATTTTCCGCATGAGGAAACTGAGGCCAAAAGTGGGCTGCAGAGTCTAGATACAAACCCAGGTCACCTGACTCCAAATCCAGCACTCTTGAATTATTATGGCCCAGCTGCCTAACTGGGAAGATCATGAAAGACATGAGCCGGTTTTGGCTGAGGACAGGGAGTTCCCTCCCTCCTCCATCAGCAGCAGCAGGAAGGATCAGACAGCATTCCAAATTCTCTCTTCTGACCTGGCAGGCTGACAACTTTAGCCGCTCACAGTGGGTTTAATGGGAGTTCAACTACCTTCTGGTGCCAGAAAAGGAGATTTTCTCAAGATGAGCACCGACAGGAGCAGCAAGAATATCTGACTCGTTGGAGCCAGGGCTGACTGGGTAGCCCCCTCTGATCCTGGGAAGGAAGAGTGGGTGCCAAGAGCAGATGCCTTCTGTGTGTTACCTCATTGAAAATGACCTCCGAGTGGGGAAATGGGGGAAGGGGAAAGGGAATGAGAGAATCTTATTCTCTTCAGATTTGGCTTAAGGAGAGAATAACATACACACTCAATTGGGTATGGAACTTTATCTTACCCTACAGGAAAATAGGGGGTAGGGGACAAGAGAGCAGGGGGTTGATAGAGGGGAGGGCAGATTGGGGGAGAAGGTAATCAGAAGCAAGCACTTCTAAGGAGGGATGGGGTCAAAAGAGAGAATAGAATAAATGGGGGACAGGATAGGATTAAGGGAAATATACTTAGTTTTTCACAACATGACTGCTGTGGAAGTGTTTTGCATGACTACACATGTATAACCTGTATTGAGTTGTTTGCCTTCTCAATGAAGGTGGGTGGAGAGGGAGGAAGGGAGAAAATTTGGACTCCAAAGTTTTGAAAACACATGTTAAAAAAAAATTATTTTCACATGCAACTCGAAAATACTGGAAATGGGGCATAGAAATCTATCCTGCCCTACAGGAAAATTGAAGGGAAAGGAGATAAGAGAAGGGGGGGGAGATAGAAGGGGAGGGAGATAGAAGGGAGGGGAAATTAGGAGAAGGGGTATTCAGAATGCATGCCATCTGGAGGGGAGGGGTGAGATGGGGAGAAAATTTGGAACTCAAAATCTTGTGGAAGTGAATGTTGAAGACTAAAAATAAATTAATTAAATTTTTTTTAAAAAATGACCTCCTAGTAAATCTCTGTGTTACAAGGGCCGTGGGAGGGGCAAGCCACTAGTGCTGGTGTCTATGAAGAACCAGGTTGTTAACAATGAGAGCAGAGTAGGGCCCATGCTCTCTAATCATCTGTTCAATACTTGCACGTAGAGGTTCAGAGGATGAGTTAGTTTCAATAAATCAGGTCTGATAAAAGTCCCAAAATTAAACATTCAGAAAATCCAAAGTGCAGGAAAAGGAAGAAAATCAATAGTCAGCTAAGTGACTTGGAATCAGACAGACCTGATTTCAAATCCTCCCTCACACCTGGTTGTGTGACCCTGAACAGGTTTCTCACCTTCTCTATTCCTCAGTTTCTCCATCTATAAAATAAGAGGGTTGAACTCGATGACCTCTGATGTCCTTTCTGTCTCTAAAATCTATGCTCCCCTGATGAATACATAGCTCTCCTAATAGTATGCATGCTATAGGTACTTAATAAATGCTTATTGAATGAATGAATGATGAAATCTCCAGACTCAAAGAGAAGCTAAGGAAAAAGGACAAGCAAGTTAATGAAAATAAGTAAACCACAAGAAAAACAAAACAAAACAAAACAAAACAAAAACCTCCCCAGGGTAGCAGCCCCTGAGTCTAGGAAACCTGGCCCAGGGTCAGTATCAGCTAAGAGTGGTTTTGTGCTGTAGGAGTCAAGGCTCTACCCCAAGAGGGTCTGGAACGTTTCTGGGCTAAGACCATTTCTAGTTTATTCAAGTCTTTGGGACAGGCAGCATCCTTGGGAGCTATACAGACTATCTCCTTCCATATAACTTGACTTCCGTATTCTGTTCTTTCATCAGGAGTAGATGGGTCACAGGTGCCAAGGTCACAGGGTCAGTCCTTGAAAATCATAACCTTGATCTGGCTGAAAAAACCTTCCCTCCCTCCCCTGGCAAGAGATCTCTGAGCATGGTTTCCTGGCTCCATTTGTTGATGAAATGGCCTGATGTCAGAGCACCTCTGTCTTCTTTACTTTGACTAGGGACACCACTAAGTTGAAACCTGCAGTCAGATTTGAAGCAGAATCCCTGGCCCCACTTTACTGATTATTATTAATGGTTTAACATAAATGGAAAGGTCATGGGCTCCTCTTCAGTCACAGGTGGATATGACAATGTAAAACAGGGGCTGTTGGGAAAACACCATACAAAGAGTTTTGGTTTAAAACATATAATTTAGAAGGGATACATTAGAAGCCATTTGGAGAGGTTTGGTCTCTTAAGCCAGCTTAATTGCCTTTCCCATCTTCCTCCCTTCCCATGACAGCAGCACACACCTATGAAAAAAAGAGTCACCATGGCCTGAGTCATCAGACCAGCCCAGTCTTAGCCCAGCTGGGCCAGGCAGATGAGAGAGCTCAGAGCTTTTCCCCCATTGTTATGCTAATCTGCCTGACTGTGATGAGAAATTATCGGAGGAATAAGTAGAGGGGGAAAAAGACCTAGGGCTGCAGGAGGGGGGTGGGGAAGAGAGAAGGGAGGGGTGTGTGTGTGTGTGTGTGTGTGTGTGTGTGCTGAGGAAGGTCAGATCTGCTTTACTCTGAGAAAAAAAAAACATAGAGGTTCAAAGGGAGGAGGCCTCAGAGCTAGGCAAAGAGAAATAATTGGAAAAGCAGAGCACATCAGGGTTCCAGAGGCAGGGGGCAGAGACAGAAGCAGGAGGACCAGGCAGAAGCCACTGGTGACAAGGTGACATCGGCAGATAGTGATGAAAAGAGTGAGAGTGAAAGACAGAGGAAGCAGGTGGCAACATCACCGCCAGACTGAGAGGGAGTGACAGGATAGAGACAAGAGTGAGAGAGAAGAGAAGCGAAAGATGTGATGACAAAGAGTGGAACCTCTGGGGACAGAACGAGGGTGACAGTGACACACAGAGACACCGACAGATACAGGATGGCAATGACGGCCGGTGAGAGAGAAAGAGATAGGGGGACGTGGAGTGCCCATGGCGATCGATGTCAGAGAATGGCTAAAAGACTGGGTCCGTGTCAGAAAGCTACAGCATGGGGGTCACGGTGTCATGGAGAGGTAAGGGTGACAGCGAGAGATGGGGACACAGTAAGTTGTGTGCCAACAACAGTGTCAGGGGCTGGGGCAGCCGGTGTGACAGACACAGTGACATGGAGACAGGAAGAGTGGGAGTGACTGAGAGAGATAGTGCTACCCAGACGGACGGTGACAGAGAAAGTAGGACAATGATAAGATTTAAGACACCTCCAAGGGACAGAGGCAGAGTGGGAGTGAGTGACAGGCAGCAGGAGAGTGCCAGGGTCCGAGCCCCAGATACAGCGTGGCCATGGCAGAGACAGAGGCGCAGGGACGCGGCTGCAGGGCGGGCGGCGGGACTCACCGTGTCCTTGGAGGAGCCCAGCTTCTTGAGGCCATCCAGGGGCAGCAGGTCAGCCGAATCCTTGTGGATGAACTGCACAGCCTGCTTCATCCGGCGCTGCTGCCGCAGAGAAGCAGCCTCCCGCATATCGGCTTCCTTGCGGCCCCCCTCGGTCAGAAGCCCTGAGTAAAACATCTCGGGCTCAGCCCCGGCCCGAGCTCCGGCCCCAGCCCCGTTCAGATGCCTCTGCTCCTTCTGGTCCCAGCCTCAGCACTGGCCTGTCTCTGACTCCAGCTCTGGTCCTCACTTTATAGCCGCGGCTGGTGACGTAAGTGGGGAAGCGGGGAGGGGGGACATTTCTTGACTTATTCCTTAAGCCACCTCCCCCTCACACTCCTTTGGGGGGGGGGCAATTGAAGAGACGGAAAGAGCGAGGGGGAAAGGAAGAAAGAAAGATCAAGGAGGGGCCAGGACAAGGGAGAGGAGAAAAGAGGAAGAGAATATAAAGAAGGGGAGGGGAGAGAAGAAAATGGAAAGGAAGGGAAGAGAAAGAGGAGCGGAGGGAAGGAAAAGAGACAGGGGAAGGGAAGAGAGGGGAGGGGAAGGAAGGAGGGAGAGCAGGGAGAAGAATGCAGGGGAGGAAGGAGGCAGAAAGGAGAGGTGAAAAGATAGGATGGAGATGGGAAAGAGGGGGAGGAAGAGGAGAAAGCTGTTGGGTGGAGGAGAGGATTGAGATGTCCCGGCCACCACTGCCTTTGGGAGGGAGTACCTTGGGTTCTGGCTCAGGACCCTGCCATGTATCTGGGTCTGCAACAGAAGAAAGTGGATGTAGGGGGAGCCTCTAATCAAGGTGGGAGTAAAGGCGCTTCTGCCCAAATGCTGGTGTCCACGCCCCCCTCCCGCATCCATGAGCCCCATTCTTACCTTTCCATGAAGTTGCAGACCCTGGGATCACAGAGACCTTGTCTACTCCTTGGACCTCAGAACCCACACAGCCTCCATCCTCTACACACATCCATGGCATGGCACCCTGCCCCCAACCCACACACCACAGAGAGTCCTAGTTTAGGATGGTGACACCCACTGAAGTTTGAAGACAAGATTTTCTCCAATTTGAGGTCTGTCCCCACCCACTACACCATGTGACTGAATGAGGATGGGGAGGAGGGGGCAGAAAATGTCCTTAAGGGTCACTCTGCTGACTGGCCCCTTTGGATGGCTTCTCTTTCCCCAAACAACTGCCCCCCACCTCCACCTTGAGGCCGGGGCAAATGGACAGACTCTGTAGCAGTCAGACACACAGGGGGATTATACTTAGTTTCTCCAGAGACTTGGAGTCAGTGTCCCAGGCCCTGGGGAGGAGGGAGAGGCAGGCAGAGACAAAAGCAGGAGGAGAGTCCAAACAAAGGCAGACACTGTGAGCCACAGAAAAGATTCACAAGTATTGGCCCATCCATCAGAAATGGATCACTAAGTTACCCAAGCAGAGCTCAAGGGAAGGGGCAGCTGTCCTGTGCCATGACTGCCCTGGCACTCCCCAGAGATCTGCAAGAATTCACTACAAATCTTTCATTTTAATGGAGAACTCTTCCCAAGTTATCAGCCTCACCTGAAACAAGAATAGCCAGTATTTATATAGGGTTCTATAGCGCTTTAAGGTTTACAATGAGCTTTGCATATGTTATGTCATCTGGCATGAGTCGGCAGGGCAGAATATGTTTTATGTGCTGGGCACGAGCAACAAATGCTCCTAAGCATATGGGAGATTATTGCTTGACTAACATATGCATGCAGGAAGAAGTCAGGCAAGGCACACATGTTCTTACACTCAAAGATGTCCAAGATATACTCGTTAGAATCTCCAAGGAAAGAAAATCTTGATTCTGCCTCCTGATCACTCACACCCAAAAGTTACAAATTATCCCCCCCCATTTAGGCCTCATTTCTTCACCTCTAAAGTGTGAAAAGTAATTCAGCCCCACAGCCTTGCACGCCTTTCCAAACATTATCACCTATACTTCCCCTAGAGCATAGGCAGTACTTTACACTCTTGTTGACTTGAACTACTTACTCTGTCCTTCCTTCTCAGCCCCTCTTCCAACCAGTTTTGTGTTTTCTTGCTTCCAAACTTTTGGAATGTCTTTGGGGCCCCTCTTTCTACCCATATTTTAATGCTGAGCTCAGGTGCCACCTCCTTATGGGAGGCTTTCTTGGTATCTGCAAGCATAGCACTTTGTTCTGTAACTTTCTAATGCACTTGTTATGTATTAGTATGTATTTTAGCTATACCCTTTCTAAGGCACTTGCTATGTATCAGTGTATATTCTAGCTATCCATATTTGAGTCTCATGTTCAGAGGTACTCCTAGCTCCTGAAATCCAGAGCAAACCCAAATTCATAGGGCAGTTTCAGAATCTAAACACATCATCATCATCATCATCTTCTTCATCAACAACAAGAAGCTTACTCACCTGGCTCTTGAGAAAGCTCCTGGATTGAAAGCAGAATTTTGCCAAGGCTGGGAGACGACACTTTCTTCAATTTTAACCATGAAAAAGTGATCACAGACAATCCTAAACACAAGAGGCCACAGGCCAGGTGAGAAAGAAGCCAAATTGTTCACCTCCCTTGGGGTCCTCTTGGCAATGATCTTGGCTCTGTGAACAATGGTGGCTCCCTCAAGCCTGGCTATCAGAAACCTTCCCTTCCGCCTGTTCACCTGGACCCCTGCCTGGTAGCTCCCTCCTACTCCATCACCAAGGGAACCAGGTAAGAGACAGCCCTTTCTTTGTCACATAGAGGACCTGTTCTTTTGTACTCAGCAAACCAGCTGGGCCAGCCCAACAGTGAGGGCCGTGTGATTTAACTTTTGGGGGGAAATAGTCACCCTTCCCCCATGTCCCAATAGAAGTAACATTCCTTGAGGAGTGAGGTATAAGAACACAGGTGGAATATAACTACCTCCCCCAATCAGCTCCCTCTCACAGACTTAAACTGTGCAAATACCACTGATAAACATCCCTGAAGAACAAAGGTGCATCTTTGACAGCTCAAACACCTTAAAACGAATAGCAAGCTCTACTCTGACTAGACTGAACTTTGGTTATATTGAATGCTGCTTAAAATGAGTGAATCCTCAGTCAGAATTTGGAAATCTTTTGTTTTAGAATTTGTTGAAATGTGATGTGATCTGATTGATAAAAAGAAGTATGGAACCTAGAAAGAGTATGGCCTCTGGAGTCAGAGGACCTAGGTCCTCCGTGACTTAGTTTCTTCACCTGTAAAATGGAGTGGGGGAGGCCCCCCCCCGCTAGCTTAGATGGCTTCTGAAGTCTCTTCAAGATCTATGATCTATACCTTAAAAGCAAGTTGGACCTTCTGCCCTGGTATTTTTGATTTGCAGGTTATATATCTTACATATCTATTTCAGAGAGTAGGGAATAGATTTTGTTCATAGACCCTTGGTATTAACAGTCGATATGGCAGCTAGCGGTACAGTGGATAGACTGTTGGGCTGGGAATCAGGAAGACCTGAGTTCAAATCCAGCCTCAGATACTTACTAGCTGTGTGAGCTTGAGCAAGTCACTTAACTTTTCTCTGCCTCAATTTCCTCAACTGTAAAATGTAATAATAGCATCTTCCTTACAGGCTTCTGTATGAGGATCAAATGAGATAATATGTGTTAAATACTTAGCACAGTGACTGACACATAGTAGGCACTTATTAAATAGTTGCTCTTTCCCGTTCCCCTTCCATCTCCTCCCCAGTAAAAGGAGAATCTAACCATTAGGTTACCTGAACAGGTGTCCAGGAGTAGTAGCTGGTATTTTACATTGTGTTAATTATTCCAGTTCCCTTGATTACTCCGCAAATACAGAATGCATAGGTTAACTTTTTGGAGGGAGGGAAGGGTCACACAAGTAGCCATTAGCCATTTCCATTACTCTATACTGTTCCACAACCCTGCCTGGGATAGGGGGCCGCTAAGTGGCACAGTGGATAGAGCACTGGGCTTATTATCAGAAAGACTCATCTTCATGAGTTCAAATCCAAGTTGTATGACCCTGGGCAAGTCACTTAACCCTGTTTGCCTCAGTTTCCTCATCTGTACAATGATCTAGAGAAGGAAATGGCAACCGACTCCAGTATCTTTGCTAAGAAAACCCCAAATGGGGTCACTAAGAGTCAGACATGACTGAAACAAACAACAACTATAAATCTATAAGTCAAGACTGCAGAATGAAAAGTTACCTCCCTAAGAACCTTCCAAGCAAACATTAAAAGAGCTAGATGAAGCAACAGTCCATGAAATGAAATCAAAGTAAACTCTACCATCTAGTCCACAAAATTGCCTGAAGATGATAGAAACTCTGGTCAGGGGAACCAGGAAAAATTCAAGCCAACCTGATCTCTGGTTAAAAAAAAAAAAACAGACAACCCCAGCCATGAACTGTCATAGCCATAGCAGAGGACCAGGCCAACTATTAGTAAGTCCTTGCATAAGAAGAATGAGATGAGCAGAGGTCACTGAAAAGTATGTATGCTTTGGGGTCTCCCAGGAGGCCTCAAGTTACTTGTGATTCTGATATCCTTCCCAGACATAGCAGGGGACAATAGGCAATTCCTGATAGGTGACCACCCAAGGAGACTGGGACAGGAAGTGTCCAGGCCTTCAGTATTGGGGATCCCACTAGAATGCAGATTAAACTAATACTAGCGACCACACCAGGAATTCCAAGAGATGAAGATTAAATAGAGGCACCCAGGAAGTCTCTAGGAGGCCTCAAACCAGGCTGACTTCTAATATCTCATCAGGATCTCTCAGGACCAATGCAGAGTAAAAGCTAACTCACAAATGGTATTTGAAAGGAGACAGAGATATGACAGAGATGGACTCTGCTTAGGTAACCAGAACAGGGAGGGGAACCAGGAGCCAGGTGCTCACCCAAAACTGAGGCAGGGGAGTGACAATGGAATCCAGAATGCAAAGGGCGCAGGATCCGAACTGATTCATCTCATCTTAAAGAACAAAAGGCGGCAGAAGGGGTTCCTGGCACAAATCCCAATTTAGGAACTGTCTAGAGGCAGGAGGAAACATGAAAAAAACTTTTTACACAGCAAAGAAATACTCTGAGTTCAGAAAAACTCCAGGTGTAAACCCAGAACACTGTAGCAGCTCCACAAGAAGAACAGACAGAGAGTTAGAAAAAAAAATGTTTTGGTTGCAAGTACTCCAAAAATAATAGAAGACAGGAAGCAAGAGATTAAAAAGTAAAATTGGGGCTCCTAAGGAACAAATTGGAAGGAGAAAAATGAGCTTATAAGAGAAAACAAAAAACATGACACACATAGTAGACTCCCTGAGAAAATAGAATTAAGCAAATAGAACTTAGTGATTCAATAAAACCAAGAATATTAAAACGAAGCTAA